TCATCAATGAATTGGAAAGCTTCAACTTAGAGTTCGCTGTGTTCAGGTGTAATGTCGACAGCCGTGAGACTGATGAACCTCGTATGGCATATTGTTAGCCGATAGGTTTGTCTTACGCATTCAACGGTTTCAGTGTTATATGGTTGGTACATGGATATGTGGCTGTGTAATGTTCTCACTTCGTAGGATATCACTTAACAATGCATCAGTACTTCGCTTTCTTTGTCCAGAACTGCTGTTACAGATGGTGAGGTTGCTTGAAACTCGTCATACATATGTCAAGGCGTTATTTTCTGTCCATTGGACAAATACTGTCACACATTAATCATTTTAACCGCGTGAATTAGCGTGTCACTGTCATCCTTTCACAGCTTAGCTTTGCCTTGACAAATACCGAAGCTGAATTCTTTCAACTGTTGGCAGCCTCCTCGAGGGCTGTGAAATTAGAAATAAGGTTAGACTGTCTTTTGCACCTGTGGATGGCTGTCCGGGATCAGCGTAGAAATTGTATCAACTTTTCATAGAGTTTCTTGGATGACTTTTACAGGCGTGAATCATACTTTATCTGAATCAGAGATACGTGAATCTTAGTTGTAAGTTCAAGATGCTCTTTCGTATAATTTACGTATGACAGCGGGTTATGCCCGTTCAAAATCTATGCTTCTGATATAGAATTCTGTCGGAATCTTCGAAACTAATCTGCTTTCTAGGAATGCGTCATAGAACATGATCTGTCATTTTAACGATTTGTAGTAATGAACGGAGGCTCAATATTTGGACTGCACTTAAAACGAGGTCAATAATAGTCGTTTTCTCCTATTAAATTCAGTCTCCCCACTGAAAGGCCCTCATCTGTCATAAGTCGAATTTTTTATTTGTTGACTCTCAAGATTTGGAAGAATATCAAATTCGACTCGATGTCAGTTAAATTTCGGTATGCTTTGATTAGGTTTATAAATAAGACGCTGAAAGTTTTTCATTGACCAGCATTTCGTATCACGGACGCTTAGTCTCTGCTATCACATCTAGTCATTATTTGTTATTAAACAAGCTTCCAACGACGATCGTTAGATAAAATTGAGTATAAAATAAGTTGATACGGGAAACTTTTCTTCAGACAAAATAATCACTAGTAATTAAACTGTATTTTGCTAGTCTAAAGGTTTGTGGAATTGCCAAGTTGGAATACCCTTTCTATGATTAGCGAGATCCGTCATTTCTTCGGCTTTACACGCGTAATCGCAAAGTCCCTTTTGGATGCTGGTTTCAATCTACCTGCTGCATGCGCTAGAGTACCATTGAACTGTAACTTTAATTTTTTCGCAGTAAAGGCTGATTAGGGCACATCTCCATGTCCTGCAAGACAGGGCAGCGCCGCCGACCGCACCTGTTTGGTGCCCTTGGAGTTTATCGATCGCCATTTCTTGGCCATTTATAGAGTACAGTTACCATGACTGTTATATCAATCGCTCGCCGCTGTCTGCGTATGTTTCATTGGAGTTCATGTGACCGTAGGGAAAGCGGTCTATGGCCTTAAAGGTCTGTTGACAAATTGAGCGCGATTACATGTCATTTCTCTGATTCTGCTACCGAGAAACTGAATGCTTGGCTGATTGCTTTTAAACGTCGCGCGTGGCTGATTTTGTCAAAGGTCATTTTCTTACACCTCGCCGCACTCATTGTCCACCATCTTCAAAGATCCATCCGTCGCTGTTGGTTTGTATATTGATTATTTAATTGGGATTCGTCTTTATATAATTCATTTGTTTCTAGTGTATTCATGATAGATAAATGCAACATATTCTACTTCCTATGTCTAGAGTGCTCAGTAACCCTTTTCAGTAGCTGCGTATTCTCGCGTTAAATACAGCAAAACCGCTTTTTTGGAAATTGGCGACGGTTTAGAAACCATTACTTTTCCAATCAACGTTTAATTATGAATTGAGCCGTCATTCTAACTTAAATCAGAATATATCCGAGAATATGCTGAATCCAGCAAAATGCAATTTATGAACCAACCATATATCACAATTTATGTGAAAAATAATCCATGACTTTGAACGATGACGCCTGAGAAATCTTTGTGTTTCGAAAGAGGTATTTTTCAGATATATTTATGGTATGATTGATTCATGACTCGATTATGAATATGATTTATTGAATGATATTCATAAGTATATGACCGGACTTTAGAGTGTGAACGTGGTGAAAACAGTAATATGCGCTTTGATAATTTTTTTTGTTTCATATAAGGCATCAGTAACGTCAGAAACAAGTTGTAACCAGCATATTTATTACTAAATTCGTGATACTTTTGTTCTGCTTAGTTAAAATATTCTGCCAGAAAACGTTTTGATAATTAAATCATCGAAATGTTTAGTTACTGTCATGGATGCCGTAAAATATGCGTTGCTTTATTTTCAAATCTAACTGGTTCTTCAAGCTACGGACGAAAACCAGGCTAGAAATTTTCTAATGCAAAGAGAATAAAGAAACCTTGGCTATTGCTGGAATTCTGCCATTTTTGAAAGCATGTTGAATTTGAATGCAAATGTGTTTCGATAAGCTGTGCAACAAATTTCAAACAATCTTACACTATTCTAGATTAGATTTGCTTTCAGAACCTTTGCGTCATAAGGCGTCATTTATCTGGTACTTTGTGACCGTAAATGATTTGGTTCAGTTTCGGTGTTAATTCCTTGGATGACTCCTGGCGTTTCCCTAAGATATCGCGCCAAGACTGGTTTTTTAGCAATCTTCCCTGCGTGACAAATCTTTCTGAGACCATTGCCATGCTACCATTCACTTCACTTTGCCATGCTACTAAAGATCAGAGTAAAGCAGCGCCAAGTTGTTGCTAGATCGATTCAACAGTTTGAAAGTCAGTCGGTCCATCGGTCAGTCAGTCAGTCAGTTTTGATGGTCGCTTATCCTTTTGGGTCGCCTGAGCCAGAGTCTGAGTTTCAGCAGAAGACAACTGGTGTCTGGAGGAGACTCTTTCCATATATCTGCACCAAGTTAATCTTCGCTGACCTTTGGGCTTTCTGCCGGTCGCCTGAGCAATCAGTCGTTGCTTCGCCTTCATTTCTGGAGGCATTCGAAACACATGCCCAAACCATCGCAGTTATGACTGGACACCAAGGCTTTCGCGGATATTTGTATTCCGGGACCAAATCGAGACGCGCAAGGCGAGCGACTCATCTCAGAAAACCCAGTTCAGCCGATTGTATCCAAAATGTTTAGTTGTAGCCCACGACTTATGACCGTAGGTAAGCTTCAGAATGAAGATCGACTTGAACTAAGAGAAATAAATCTTCAGACTCAACTTGGCTTTAGTAACAGCGGCAGGGGCTGGTTCAGCAGGAGGCTGCTGACCAGTCTAATTCGTCGGTCGATTCTCTTCCTCTCACTTTCCATCACCGGTGAACAGGACCCAGAGTTACATGAACTCTCACCTTCTTCTCCGTATACCTGCAGAGCGAAACAGACAGGAGGTCGAGGTAGCTTTAGGCTTTTCATTTTAGACAACATCACACCTATGCCGGTCATGTCGCATTCGCTGAACCATTCCAGAGTACGCTGAAGATCAATTACAGAAGATGCCAACAGAACAAGGTGGTCTGTAGACAGCAAACTTCTCGTCTCGATATCTTATACGCTGATGCGCTCGTCGCCTTGGCTGCGCTTAACTATTTTATCCATGTACAACAAAAACATGAGAGGGGACAGAGCGCAGCCTTGGCGGAGACCAGTGCCAAGAATGAAATATTTCGACTTAATGCTGTTTCTCTGACGCAGCACCTGCTATCAGCATGTAGTGACTCGTAACAACTGACCATCAATACCACAACAACTGACCATCAA